GTATAGCAGTGATTGTGGGGCTGGCGCGGGATCGGGCAGTGTTTCGTTCTGCTGTGCATGGGGTCGCTATGAGTCAGAAACGACTCGACGGCACTTAACAACAACAACAATATGTATTTTGGGGCTCTTTTATTGGGTATGTAGATATTTATTATGGTCATGTCTTCCTATTAGATTGACCCTTTAATCATCATATAATGTCTTTCCTTGCCTCTTTTCCTGGTTTTTGCCTTAAAGTCTATTTTATTAGAAATTAATTTTGCTACTTCTGCTCATTTTTGGTTGTCATTTGCTTGATATATGTTTTTCCATATTTAGTTTTTATTTTTGTCTGTATGTTTAAGATGTATCTCTTGTAGACAGCAAATTGATGGCTCATGTTTTCTTATCCATTCTGCTATTCTTAACTGGTTCATTTAACCCATTTATATTCAGTGTAATTATTGATAGTTATGAATTCCCTGCTTTCCTTTTGCTGTGTTCTTTGTTTCGTGGTGTTGATGGTTTCTTTGTTCAATATATTTTTCTGAGTTTATTTTGTTTATGGATTTTCTTATCATTTCCTTCCCTGCTATTGCTGTAGTGTTTACTGAGACTTCATGATTTTCTTCTTTATTTTTGTGAGAAGGTTTATCAATTATCTTTGAGGTTACCTTGTTATTTATTATTATCTTCCCAAGTTTAAAACAGTCTGTTCAATCTTGATATCATCTTGACTTCCTCTCCATTTGGAAGTTCTATAACTACATCATTTATTCCCTCTTTTTGCTTTGTAGTTATTAGTGTCTGTACAAATTAATATTTCTCGTTCCCTATTTTCAGTCATGTAGGTTTATTTTATTTTTGACACTTCTATATCATGATAGGTTTTTGGGTGATGTTGTACTTCTTTATCATTTTGTTTGAAGGTCTGCATTCCAGAATTGTCATCTGTATTCATTACACTTGGCTTCTCGAGTCTTTGTTGTAGAGGGTATGCACAGTGTATCTGTCTAGTCTGCCATCTTGGATCCTCCTCCTAATAATTATTTTTGAAACTTAATTATTTTATAAATAATCTGTTAGGAAATGATAGAAAACCAAGTTAAACTTGTCAATTGCTGCCATAATTGCCAGGGGTGAGATACTACAGATAGGTTTCAGTATAGCATCTCTTTCATTTTTGCACTTATATAAAACAACTACTTGACAAAACTGTGACATTTATTCTTTTCACTGAAAAAAAAAAATTCCCCAGAGCACAAGTCTTATTTTCTGACAAGATTTTGTTTAAAATAGGACCTTGTGATTTATTCAACAACAAAATGATAAAATACTAGCCAAGTGATTAGACAAATATGTCCTTTATGTCTCTTAACTATCAATAAGTCAAATGTTTATATTATTTTATATGCTATTATGGTGAGCAGGAGCTGGTCTTCAATAAAAGTCCCTGTCTGGGTGATGGAGCTGGTCTTTAAAAAAAAAAAAAAAAAAAAACACTGCAGTCAAGTTGATTCTGACTCATAGTGACCCCTCTTTGGGTTTCCCAGGAGGTATCTCTATGGAAGAAGATTGCCCAGTCTTCCTTCAGAGGTGTGGCTGATGGGTTTGTACTGACAGCCTTCTGGTTAAGCAGTCAAATGCCTTAGGCACTATGCCACCAGAGCAGAAAGGTTACCTTTTTAATGTTCTCTCACAGTTTAGAGACTAAGAGAAAGGATGAGGTTTTAATTGTTCTTCTGCATAGCAAGAAATGAGCAATCTCCAAATAAAGTTTAAATATAACCAGAGCCTTTTCTTCCAAAACCTCTATCTCCCACTTACTTTGGAGTAATACCGGGGGAGGGGGATGTTGCCTTCTACTCAATTCCAACTCAGAGCCTCCTAAATCCTATACCCAGACTCAACACTCCAACCTTTCCCTTCCACCTCCCTTCTTTGTCTTATTTCCTTAGGATGTTATACACTCCTAAAATATTTCAGTGGAGTCCCTGATAATATGAATGTTCTGCCATCCTAAGTAACAGTGGGAAGGCAGGAGGCTCCTTTCCTAAAGTTCTGCAAATAATATTTTGGCAGCCATTTGCTATCTCTATACAAAAGTGTCAAACCTGAGGAGCATATTTTATAAAAAAAAAAAAAAAAACTACTGCCCTGTTTTTCTATAACTTAAAAAATCCAGGAGAAAATGTCCAAAAGAACCATGACTACATGCAGCTCATGACATTCTCTGTTCCTACTCTCTAAAGTTTAAGATTCTATCAAAAGATAACCCATCAGGTCAAAAGAAATCTCAGTAATCAGTATCATTGTTCAGATTGTATATAAAGATGATATATTAAGATGCCATGGTAATTAAATGCATATTCCACTCACTTCCAACACTGATGTAAAATGACTTATAATAAAAGGCATATTTAAATTAAATAGAAATATATCTTAAAAAACCTAGAGAGTGTGGGAAAATCATAATCATAATATACCGTGACTACGTGCAGCTCATGAAATTCTCTGTTCCTAATCTCTAAGTTTAAGATTCTGTCAAAAGATAACCCATCAGGTCAAAAGAAATCTCGGTAATCAGTATCATTGTTAAGATGGTATATAAAACACATAAAAGGATATATATTTTGAGGATGTGGCAAAAAAAAATGAAGGGTGTTTTTGCCAGATCCACTTTAGATTGTACATTGACTTATGACTAGATACAATTCAGAAAATTCCTTTCTTAATGACAGTTGCATAGAGTCTCCAAATGTTTTAGAGCAGTGACAAAAATACAGAACCAGAAACTGTTTTTCTGATTCCGTGTATCTCTTGGTCAACTGAGTTCTCTGCCAGATTTTTTTCCATATCTCTCTAGTGACTATATGATGTATTTGACTTCTTTGTTTATTGTTTATCTCAACCCAACCCAAGAATAGAATATAAGTTCTATGATGGCAGAGATATCATCACTGCTATATTCCCAGTGTCTGATAGTCATCTGATATATAATACATCCTTAATGAATATTTGATGAATGAAAGGGAATAATAATATCACTACATTCACAGCAAGATAATAGTGAAAACAACATTATTCAATGTCTGGTACTAGACACTGAAGCACAAGCGTATGCTGACCTAGTGCCGCTTTAAGTAAAGTGAAACTACATGAAAGGAGATGAGTGATTGAAACAAACAGCAGTATCTGTCTGTATCACATCTCTATTCGTATCGAAAGCTCCATCTATATCTATATTTTGAAAAAGCAATGCAGAGTTAATTTCCTTCAACTTCGAACAAGAGCTAGTAATTTCCATTGTTAAAGCTGGTAGAATACTGTGAAGAAGAATCATATTTTCTCACACTCTCTAGGCTGTATAGGACATATTTCTATTTAATTTAAATATGCCTTTTATTATAAATCATTTTAAATCAGTGTTGGAAGTGAGTGAAATATGCATTTTAAATACCATGGCATCTTAATTAGAAAAGTATTCCTTAGGTACATTACTAGGCACTTGAACATAAGTGTATGCTGACCTATTCCTGCTTTAAGTAAAGTTTTCTATTCTCTTGAAAACTGAAAGTAAAAAATGTTGATAAAAATTTAGGATCCAGTCCCATTTTTTAAAAAACCAGCATATTCTCTTTCCTGACAATCAGAAAAAAACAAGAATGTTGATAATAGAAGTAAAACAGTTCTGCATTCTGACTGAATATTAGATTTTCAATAAATCTATGTCCGATTGAGGTGGTTGCTAATGTACCCTCCCTGTTAGACAGTATAATTTTGATTTCCATCACTATAAAATACCCTGAAAGAAAATTAATTTTGCAAGCAAAAAGCTCCAGTTACTTGGTTACTGTTCTTTTATCTCATACCTTTCCAGCATTGTTCTTCACTCCACTCACTCCAAATTCCATCATCTGAGCAATAAATATTCACTTTGCTTCTTACTAAAAAGCACAATTGGTGGCTTTTATTTAACGTTCTCCTGATGTACATTTCATTGTCGATTGTGGTAGACTGAAAGCCAAGGGAAAATAAGTTGCCATCATTTGATCTAATTGGAGCTAGACAGATAACATTTGATTTGTCCCTTTCAAGGTGGGTTTTGTTATATAAAATATATGCATCAAAAAGACTAGAAGGATATATACCAAAATCCTGACAGTGATTCTCTCTCTAGGTGGTGAATTCTTTTTTTTTTTCCTCTTCCTTATCTATATTTTCATTTTTTTCTTCAATGATAATGGATTACTTGTAGTAAAGGGCTCATGAGACAGGGCAAAATTCCTAAGTAGCTGCGGTATTTATGAAACCTCAGTATTTGGATTAGTGTCAAATTTTCCAGATTCCATAAACTCGAAGATGGTACATACACACTAAGTTAGCAAATGACAGAGCAATCATAAGAATGTTGTTTCTATGGAAGCTATAGAGCCCATACACATAAAATTTTGTTTGTCTGTTTTTATCTTATTGCTGTTTTGGTTGACTGCCATCAAATCTGTAACAGTGCCCCGAGCTTGGTATGAAACTACCCTTTCCGGTATAAAAATATCACAAGGCCAGATGATCTCAAAGGGGAAAAAAAAAATCACTGAAGCCATTAGTCTATTCTATACTCCAAAGAGCTGAAGAGTGTTTGTCATCCAAAATAATGGCTTCTCTTTTATTGTAACTTACTAGAGAACCAGCACAATGCAGTGAAAAACTGAAGTGGACTAGGAATCAGACCTGGATTCTAGTTCTAGCTCTCTAATTTGATTGCACATCAATTCACCTCCCTGGGAATGTTTTCTCATTTGTATATGAAATAAATTGATTAGAACTGGTGGTGTGTCTCCTTGACCTTGTTGTTGTGTGCATTCTGGTGGATTCCAACTCATAGTGACCCCATGGAACAGAGTAGAACTGCCTCATAGGGTTTTCTACGCTATAATCTTTATGAGAGCAGATCACCAGTTCTCTTCTCCTGTGGAAGTACTGTGTAATTTGAACCTCCAACCTTTTGCTTAGCAGCTGAGTGCTTAACTGTTGGGCCACCAGGGCTCCTTTACCTGTCTCTGTTATTGTTGTGTGCCGTCAAGTCCATTCTAACTTATAGAAATCCTATAGGACAGAGAAGAACTGCCACATAGGGTTCCCTAGGCTGTAATTTTTCCAGAAGCAGACCAACAGGTTTTTTCTCCTGTTGAGCTGCTGGTGGGTCGGAATCACCAACCTTTTGGCTAGCAGCTGAGCGCTTAACCATTGCGTCACCAGGGCTCTTTTTACTTGTCTCCACCACTCTCTAAAGGTGCTCTGGTGATATAGTGACTAAGGCATTTGGCTACTAACCAGAAGGTCACTGGTTCTAACCCACCAGCTGCTTTGCGGAAGGAAGATGAGGCAATCTACTTCCATAAAGATTTACAGCCTTGGAAATCCAATGGGGGTTGCCATGAGACCACTCTGTAAACTGGAAACCAATGAGTAAATGAAACATATTAGCAATGTAGGGTCAAAGGCATCACCATTGTTAATACTAGAGAGGAATTCATCTTGCAACCATTACCTTCTTCTATCAGCCCCTCTTCCCTTGGCACAAGAAATTTTCTTGCTGCCTTTCAGACTCTGCTCTCATTTTTACCTGAAAATTGTTCCTCAAGAAGTGATCTTGGTGTGTGTGTGTTTGTTTTTACCTGAAGCCTCCTCACAATCCATTTTAGGCCCATGGCAACTTTAATTTCGTGACACAAAATTGGAAATGAGGGACTAGATTATCTCTAAGGTCCTATTAGCTTTAAAATTGGTATGATGGGTTATGCTTTTAGATTGCAAGCATCTTTCTTTTGTCTACTGGATTATTTGACTTTTCTGGAAATTTAACCAAGATATATTTCTCATGTATAGAGTAACTGATTTAGGTCGTGATGTTTACTATTTTATTTTAAAAGCTACATCTATGATTGTCCCAAATAAATGCAATGTTCATACCACCCGAGTAGTGTCATCTTCTGTTAATACAATTTCATAAATGAGACACCTCGCTGGAATGGGTCCTCTGGGAATGCTCCATTTCAGGATCATTTCATTAGAATCCTTCACAGTAACACTAAGGTAGTCTGGTGGCAAAGGTTTAACTGAAAAGCAAAATGAAACAATTTCAACCTGAAAGTTGTTGCAGGCTAGCAGTAGCCCTTATCAAAACCTGGGGACACCTAGTAACGAAAGCCTCTGGGGATAAACTAGGTGACTGAAGACTATACCCTATGATGTGAAATGAAATAAAATTTGTTTGCCAACAGAAAAGTTTAATGAAAAAGTTGGTTATCTTGGAAACTAATTTTTTTGGTAAGTCACATATTGACAAACATTAAAGAGAAAAGTCAGAATTTTGAAGACTGAAATGATTACAATCCTTTTTCCATTTTGTAGCATGAAGAACCACATCCAGAACTATGAATACTTCTATTAGGTGTTGTTGTTAGTTTCTATTGACTCAATTCCAACTCATGGCAACCCCATGTGTGCAGAGAAGAACTGCTCCATAGGATTTTCAAGGTTGTGACCTTTTGGAAGCAGATTGCCAGGCCTGTCTTCTGAACCACCTGTGGATGTGTTCCAACTGCCAACCTATTGGCTAGTAGTCAATAGCTTAACCATTTGCACCACCACAGATTTCATAGCTAACTCTTATTTAGTGCTTACAGTGTGTCAAGTACTGTATCAAGGACATTACATCATAATCACATTCATGCCTCATAACAAACCTATGAGGTGGTCCTGTATTATTCTCATTTTACTGATAAGGATATTGAAACAGAGATGTTAAGTAACTTGCCCAAAGTCACACAGCTAGAAAGTGGTAGATCCACACCATTCAACTCAATTCTGGCTGTCTCTAGGACCTATCACTCTTGCAACTGTTAGAACTGAGAACACTGTCTCAGAAAATATTCCATTATTTGTCTTTTGAGGCCTGGGAATATGTAATTATACAATTATTCCGCCACTAACTTTTAACAAAAGTGCTGTGTAGCAGGTCAATTTTTTGAAGCTGGGAAATTGTGATTTCTCAATAAATATGGCAATTTATCCTTCATTTACTTCCTTCTTTTCCATACTTTTATATTTAATAAGAGCTTCCCAGTACACTCTGTTGGCCCTAATTTTCCTGGCTCTGCATTTTGTTAGGGCACTCTCACTCTATCTGTCTCTCCTGTCATGTGGGTATAAGTAACCTAAACTAGAAACTATGTATTTGAAACTGTTTGTTTATATCACCTATATTTTGAAGCTGAAAAATGAAATAGCTGGATCTGATATGCATGGATTCTGATGATCCATTAACACAGATATAGAAATTTTTATAGTCTGATGACTTCAAGTAGGGAAACCTGCATCCAACATTCTTTCCATTTGCCTTCATGTATTCAGCACACTGTATTGCTTGTTCCAAGCCCTCATACCTGTAAAAACAATGTTGTGAGAGTTGTATTTAATAGTATCTTCTAGTATCAGGGTGCTCTATTTTAAAATATCTTAAGATATGACATTAATTTTAAAAATCATTTAATAGCATGTAATATTTATTGCGGACTTAGGATATACCAGACTCTATGCTAAGTGCTGGGATACACAAGTAAGAACAACAGACTCATGGAGCTTACATTGTATAGGACTCTTCATAAAATCTCAAAGACATGTGCAGGGTGTGTGAATAAAAGATGAAGATGCCTATCAAGAAACCTTGGGTTTATACAAACCATTTTAGATTGTATCACATGTTTTATATTGTCTGGGGAAACTATTTTAGAAAATAAAAGCAGATTTAAAGGTAAACTTACAAAATATTGTTACGTTTAATAAAAGGAAAATGCTCTGAGGTTACAACACACCAAGAGACAAGCCTCAGAAAGGATAACCAAGTCAAACCCAACTTACTGCCATCGAGTCAATTCTGACTCATAGCAACCCCCATTGGGTTTCTAAGGCTGTAAATCTTTATGGAAGCAGACTGACTCATCTTTCTTCTGCAGAGCAACTGGTGGGTTCAAACCACTGACCTTTTGATTAGCAGCCAAATGTTCTAACCATTACACTACTAGAGTTCCTTCAGAAAGACCAGCACGAAGGCAAAAAGGAAGAAAGAAAGAAAAAAAGAAAAAGCTGTTTGGCAAGTAAACATCTAATTTCCCATTCCCTCAGACAAGAAATGTTGACAAAACTTTTAAAGTTAACCTCTTTCCAGTAATAAAGTTAATAGGAATTAAAGGGGATTTCCCCACTGATTTACAAAACAAATGCATGATCCATTTTCCTAATGAATAGCTTATGTAGTAGTAGTTAAGGTTGTGTGTCAACTTGGCTGGGCCATGATTTTTGATAGTGACAGGGCAGCTGGATGTAGTTATTCCCTATGATGAGATTGTAATCATCCCCATGGTGGAATCTGGTACGAGCAGCTAAGCGGTTGTCTTCCGTGTGTGGTCTGCTTCTAGTACATAAGGAGAAACTTTGGGGAAAGTCTCTAGTTTTTTGGCACATCTGGATCCTGCATTTGGCCAAGTCTTTATCTCTAGTTCCTGGACTTAAACCAGTGGCCGTGCTGTCTGCTCATGCTGGGATTGTGCCACTTAAAAGAATAAATTCCTATTTGTTAAAATTACCCACTTGTCATATTTCTGTTGTAGCACCACTAGAGAACCAAGACAGCTTACAATGAAAAATGTAACATTATCTGTGAAAACAGCCTGAATCCCTTTTGAAATGAGGCAAATAAAGCAGCTGATGAGGTTCGACAAAACAACAATGCAACATACTGCTGTTGAGTTGGATCTGACTCATAGCGACCCCTCCTTGGGTATCCGAGGCAGTATCACTATAGAAGTAGATTACCCAGTCTTCCTTACGAGGAGTGGCTCGTGGGTTTGAACCACCAACCTTCTGGTTAGCAGCCAAATGCTTTAGGCACTATGCCACCAGAGCTCTATTAACTTCATTTTATGCAAAGTACTTACTTTAGGCAGAGTTTGCAAAATTGTAATCTCTTGGTCAGTTCACTTGACTAGAGTTTGGAAGGCTTGAGGTCTTTATATAAATTTATTGTATGTCAGTGGGATGCCCAATGGTACCATTATTTTCAAACCTCTGAAATGTGAATATTTATTCCTTGCTATATCACTAATATGACAAAAAATTATGTTAAACATGAACTAGAAGGCACAAGAAGGCAATTGTCTTCTTTACATATGTATTCTTGTTATCTGGAACAGTGCCTGGCATTTAGTAGATGCTTAATATTTCTTGAATTAATAGATAAGTTAATTAGATGCAAAATATCTTAAGAATTTGCCAATCCACATGAAGATATAACCATAATAAATATCTATGGACCCAATGAAAGGGCCCCAAAAAACATAACTCAGACTTCAAAAGAGTTGAAAAGCCAAATAGATGACTCCGCTCTCATAGTGGGAGATTTCAATACACCACTTTCTTTGAAAGATAGAACAACTGGAAAGAAATTCAATAAAGATGCAGAAGAGCTAAATAATACACTCTACCAATTGGGCATTATAGACATCTACAGAGCACTTCACCCAACAGCAACACAATGCATTCTTCTCCAATGCACATGGAACTTTTCCCATGATAGACCATATGTTAGGCCATAA